GCACTTGAATCTCTCAAAGCCCTGAAGTATTTAAATGAAGTTATTTTACTTCAAAGCTTGTAATACTAGGCAATTATATTTCCTATATATGGTAAATAACCTTCTTAAGTCACTGATACTTCCTTTCCCCAACATCCTCTCTTTTTTCCCCTCTCTTTGTTTAAACGTACATCTGCTACTGAAACATGTACTACTAGGTGAATTTGACATTACACAAAAAAGGTCAGTCACATGAATGGTCAGAGAAGGCAGTCTCAACAGGAGCTGGAAAAAAACCCACTGTATTTTGTTTTACCTTGTTATTTTTCACATGAGTTAGATACAAATCTCCTGTATGCATTCAGCATTTTACCACTGCTTTTATTACCTCAGAATGCAAGGTAAGCTGTTGAAGAAACTGATTGAAAGAGAGTTTAATTTCATGGAAGATTCTGTAAATACCTCTTTGTCCCTTGCTGAAATTATATTTGGTACCTGCCAAGAGTAATGCTCTTCAGCGCACCAAGCACAAATCTGGTAGGATGGAACAGTGAAGAAACCTCCCTTATGGGGCTTGCTAAACCCGAGCAATCGTCCTGCTTTAAATTATGCAGTGTGGTAGTGCAAAGTGGCTTGAACACAGCAGATTACCCAGCACTCAGATGCAGTGGGAGATCCCACTGATAGCTCCTACCAAGGAATGGCAAGAGGATATGATCAGAAAGCTCCGTGCTCAGGCTCTGGTCTATTGGGAGCTGCAGGCAACAGCCATTAAGTTAAAAGAACACCTAGGGCTCTTCTAAGCAATGGCAGGTTTAGCGCCGATCCCTCAGCCAGTTAAGGATTCACACTCCAGTGGCTGTGTGTATCTGGTCCCAAGACTAACAACCTTCCTTTGCAAAAAATAATAAAAGGAGTTCTGAACCCAGGAAAGCCAACTCAGCAGGCTGTCACCCAGAAACACAATGCTGGTACAGAAAGATGGCGCCTGTTATTAGACACAGCTTTGCCTAGGTGAAGAACTGGAGCTGGACATGTATTTTGTTTTCCTCTGTATTTCCTGAAGGAATAATGACTTTAATTAAAACCTACCACATTCTCCCTGGCCTCGAGCATGTGTAGTCTCCAAGCTCTCATTGGCATCTTTGCTTTCAGCAGTTCTCCTTGATGTTCGTGTTTTGGTTGGTAACTCTGGGGCCTGGAGGAAATTGCTTACTACGCCTCTCATGCCCTTCTTTCCCAACTCCTTCTCCACCTCTGCAATGCACAGAAAAAAATCACTACAATCAACAGAAGATAAAAACTATTGTGCTGTTCAGAGTTAATAGTGCAAAAGAAAAACAAACCACACACAGTAGAGGTTCTTTGAGATTGTTCAGCCATTTGGCCCTTCAAAATCAGACATATGCCCATACACAGAAAAAGCCCACATGTAAACACTCCTCTGCTTTCTACACCATTTACATCAGGCAGTGTAACCTAGGACTGATTTTCACTGCAAAGCAGGCTATGAAAAACACGCAGAATTAAGGATGGCCCGTTTCCCATCCCTGGAATTGCTGCTCCAAGAAGGACTCAGACCTACCATCCGATATGCTGGATTCCTGAAACATCGTTTCAAAGGCCTGATGGATCTCAGCAAAGGAGGGTCTATCAGAAGGGCTCCACTGCCAGCCTGAAAAACACACACCACCACTCAAAACATCCCACCAGCATTAGACATTCACTATACTGCACCGGGAGGACCTAGCTATCGCAGTTTCCTTTTTATAAAATGAGTGAGATAAAATACTGACACAGAAATCTGATTTATGGGTGCTGGGTGTCTGCACCACTCTGGCTCAGCGATGGCTGGAGACACCCAGCACCCTTTAAATCAGGTTTCCATCTCAGTATGTAACAGTAGGTGCTGAGTATCGCTGGAAAAAAAATGTATCACACTAAGTCACGTACCAAAAGGCCACAGTGGAAGAGTAACAGTCAGTCCTGTAAGAAGCCTAATGAAGCTCCTGCTTCATCCTTAGAGCACAAGCTTTTCTTTAAGTTGTCAGGAAAAAGGAGACAAAGAAAACATTGAGATGAACAACAAATCTCTCCCCCAGGCCTGTGCGCTCCCAGTAGAGGAGAATGGCTGGTTTCATAGCGTGTTCATCCTCTGGGAAAAGCAGTTTTAACCAAACACTCCTACACAGCATTGCACCTTCACTGGGACTGGCAGGGGGGTTGTTCTGCCTTGCTGTACGTGGCCAGATCCTGGCACTTTTACTGCACCTCTGCAGAGCTAAAAAGCAGCATTTGCAGGGCTGAGGAACACTTACATGCTCTCATGAGCTCATAAACTTTCTCAGGACAGCCTTCAGGGCGCTCCATACGGTAGTCTTTCTCCAACAGCTCATAGACTTGAGACAGATCAATCCCAGGGTAAGGGGACATGCCGTAGGTTGCAATTTCCCACAGCAGAACGCCAAAGGCTGCAGTGGAGAAAGAAGGAAAAAGAAAAAAGAAAAATAGGAAAAAAATCAATAAGCTTTGTTTCCATCTTAAATTTGAGAGGATGGGGAGTGGGAGTAGTCACTAAACAGTGCTGCACACTTAAACCAGCTCTGGGTGGCTCAGATCCCATGCTCAGCAGCAGCTTAAATGTTAAAGAAGCGTAACAAGCCTCTTCGTCAGCACAGACAAGTCTCCTGCGATATGACAGGGTAGAATTAGACTAATTTTCAATGTATCAGTTGTCTCAAACCTGAACGCCTTGAGATCCTTCAAGTCCTATTAAAGGCACAATTAAGAGACTTCACAGCGGATTAGCTGAAACCGTTTCACTGCTGCACTGCAGTCTCTCCCTCAATTTGACAGCTCCTCTCATCTGCAACCTCTCCCTAGAGGACTTGCACATTTTAATAGCTCAGTGTTTTTGGGGTGCCCTTGTTTAGCTGCAGCATGGTCTAGAGGGGAAACCTGGGAGGCAGCGGCAAGAGGAAAATTTCAGCAGTTGCAACCAACAAGACAGGGTGAGGGCGAGACATTTTGGTCAGAGGGAAAGCTGAACAGGAAAAGGGAGAGCACAAAAAAAGGTCTTGAAACAGGCGAAGCATTCAAGTCCCCGAAGTCGGTGGGGATGCAGGTCAGCACCAGGGTCAGGCAGCTAACCCAGGAGTCGGGCACACAGAATAGACTCAACACCAGTTCAACAACCTGCATGTAATTAGTTCAGTCACCCTATTCTGTTCTTAACCTGAAGAGAAAGCGATTACAATTCTGCATAAGCAAGGAAATCACATCACATTACATGGTAACACCACCAAGGGCAATTTACATTAGACATTTCTGTGCACAATTTTCTTTGATTGCTGTCTCAAGGCAGTGAGGTGAAAGCATCTAAACTCTGGCGTGCCCAGCAGCAGCCATGGCCCCCAGGGACAGCCGGCTTGCTCTGATCAGATCCCAAAGTCCACTGCCCCCACTCTCACTAAGCAAGTTTACGCTAACCCTAATTAAAGATACCCAATACTCCTTTTGGATCTTTCCTCCCTGCATACTCTACTATTTAAATGAGACAGGGATCCTGCAGCCACCTCAGCAATACAGCAGCATCCTTAAGACTGTGGCAGACACCCGGCAGCAGCCAACACCACCATGTGCAAGTCCAAAGCAGAAGAAACACCTGGATAACAACTTGGGAGGCTGGTTTGGATTTTCCTCCCCTGTCTATAAACCATTTTGTATCAGCCATCTACCTAACAGTTTCTTCAAAATAAAGCCTTTCCCCAAAACTCCAGAAAACTTCATCGCTGCTTCACTACTATCTGTTGGTTTATACATAGAAGATGCTCAGGATAACATTTTCCACGTGCCTTTGGGACCACGTCCCACAAACTTCTATCTCACGTCACTGAGCACTTCTGAGAATTTGACCAACAGCTATGGCAGAGATATAAAACCCAAAAAAAGGCTGATAAAAAGTACAATGAGATTTTCTGCAGTCAGATTTTATAGAATATAGTTCCATTTAGCTAAGCCTACTCTTATCACAAGAACCTCAGGGCTCTTCAATAACCATTTGTCATCAAATTTTCCCTCTGTTTCTCCTCATCTCATTCTGAAGATTATTCTTTTAAAATGCAGAAAGACGAGCTTGGAGCTATCACTAGAGAGATACACACATAATATTTTTTTAACATAAAATGAACCAGATTCTCACTTTTCTCATTGAAGTAGTTAGAAAGTTCCTGGCTATATAACAATATATAGTCCCGTGCTAGAACTCTATCAAGTCAGTAGTGTCGGTGCCCTCCAGCCCCATTTCATCCAGTTCTATAAACACTACAGTACCCTTTATTTTCATACTTGCCAGAGATTCAAACATATAAAGTCAGGTCGGCATCCTCAGTGCTCCACTCAAAGACTGGCTTAGCAGAGATTAGTTTCTGAACTCTGACAAGCTCCTAGAACAATATGGCTCAAACCAGGGAACACACTCGCTCCTGAAATGTTACACAATGTCCTCATTTCACAGCCCTAGAAAAAGACGACTATAATCTCAATTAATTCGTACATGCAAATTCTTACCCCAGACGTCAGACTTAATGGAGAACTTGTTGTAGGCCAGGCTTTCTGGTGCAGTCCACTTGATGGGGAATTTTGCTCCGGCGTGGGCAGTGTATGTGTCGCCTGTCATTAGCCTGCTCAGGCCAAAGTCTGCCACCTTCACCAAGTGGTTCTCCCCTACAAGGCAGTTTCTGGCAGCAAGGTCCCTGAAAACAAGAACAAAAATAGGTGATGTGTAGTCTTTACCATCTCATTTAGCGATAGCAAGGAAACCTACTGTTTCTGAAGAAACCTGGGCCTGCGTGTGATTATTTTGATCAGAGTATTACACAGAAATTATGTAGTTATACGCATACATGCAAGAGGGAAAGTTATTTTTCATTTCGGTTTTGTAAGACTGTTATCCAAACTTTTTTTTTTTTTAATTTGAAGTGAAAGCTTCAAGAAGCCCCCTCACTTTCAATAAAAGCTGCCACCCTCAGGATAAAAATAATGTAAAGAAATGTCAGTGCTCAAGTTATCAATAGCTGAGGACGAGCACCGAATAAATGAAGTCTCAAACCCTCACTTCTTGCCCACTTCTCTAGCACTTCGGTCACCCCAGCCAACAGCAGTCACTCTCCAGAACTCCTTTTCCAGTCCTTGCTCAAGCACCCAGTTTAGCTCCCAGCTATGCTCTTCTTCCTCCCAAGTGTTCCACATTTTACAGCACAACTTTTTCATACCATGTTTTGGCCTTTTTAAACCTGTTGTAGCCTCTGCTATCAGTACTTACATTTTTAAAGGACTAGACAATAAGCAAATTAAGCTTTTCCTCCACATTTTTTCCCTGACTCCACCTTGGCAGGTGAGAGATGTGCACATTGCATTTGCCACTTCCCTGGCTTGTGCAAGCCATTAGCACCCTCGGAAATGCTTCATAAGTATAAAAATGTAAAGCACAGAAGTTTGTTCTTCCTAATATTAGGTTTCGTAAAAACCACTTTTCCAGATTATGTCAAGTTGAACTAAAAATTGATTCTACCAGAAAGCTCGAGCGAGATCTTTAGATATGAGGCAGACGCTGCTCTTTCTTTGGCTTGTTCTGCTCAGAGTAAATTTTAAAAAAAAGTACGTCTTACTAGATGCCTATTAAATTTTCACAGTGTTTTTGAATATACCTTCTTATCAATGCTGATTACTACAATGTGTGTCTAAATAAAAGCTCCTCTTCATAATCAAATTCCTCCTCCTTCCTGATTCATTAAATGAGGTCACAGCCCAGCATTTGAATCCATGGATGTGAATTGTGACAACGCTCTTAAAATAATTGGGTAGGTGGGTGTGGGGGTGGCTGATAAGGAAAAAATGTTACTATTTATTTTAGATAAATGGGTCATCAGAAATAAGAGGAAATAAAATGAACAGGAGAGCAGACAAATGAGATTCACACAAAGCAGTTTTTAAAGTTCACTTCCTACAGGCTGAAGGGATGAAATACTTTCAACAGGGCAAATCAAAGGCTGGAAATTTTAATTTGCAGCATCACCGTTCACTTTATTGACTGACAGAAGCATTTAAACAGGCCTTTCAGGCAGCAAAGGCAATGCATGACTTAGAGGAGCACCTAGAACTTTACACACGATCTTCATATTTGTCTCTATGAAAAAACATGTGCTAATTTCATATTCCAGTTAATTGGGCAGGAAAGGTCACGCTACAGCACAGAGAGCATCTTGTATAAAGCTCAGCGAGTCTCAAACCTTAGTGCAAGATGTGTCATTATATTGCTAGGAGGCCATTTCTGCAGATGAAGAATGCAAAGCTCTAGCCATAATTGCAGTACACTTAAAGGTCAGAGTCTCTGAGACTTTTAAGACTGCAGAGATGCTTATTAACATGAATACGCAATCTGGACAATAGTGGGAAACAATCCCCACAGAGGACGGGGGGGGGAAATAAAAAAAGTGAAGCAACAAGAAAGAACATGGGATAAGAAAGCACTAAGAGGGTGGCTTTGTTCTGAGTACCTGCACACATCCAGCAACATCAACTGCAGCAGTTTTTAATGGCTGTTATAATCAAAAGACAACCAGTAGCTTATCTGGTCCATTAAGAGCCTGTTACTTTGGGAAGCATTTAAGGCCCTTGTCCAAAATATAAATTACTGATATATCTTTCACCTGCACCTACTTCAAAGGTAAGAGAAAAACAATTAGAAGACTATCCTATAGACAGGTTAATGTACTGTATCAGAATACAATACACTAGTACGTTAAACCAACTGCATCTGAGTCAATGCCACGATAATCTGAAAGGCAAGAAAATAAATCAAGGCGTGTTTTGTGCTCAAGATTCAGGGGTGCTCACTGTCCTTCCTACCTGTGAATGAAGTTTTTCTTCTCCAGGTACTCCATGGCTGAGGAGATCTGAGTTGCCATGTACAGTAGCACCACAGCATTCACCTCCTGCCGGTTACACTCACGCAGATAATCCAACAGATTCCCGTATGTCATGAACTCCGTAATGATGTAGAAAGGAGGTTCTCGTGTGCACACCCCTAGGGACCAACATAAAGTTCACAGTCAATGTTTGAGAATATCAGTGAATCTTCAGGCTTTGTCCTCTAGGGCAATTTATACCTCTAGAAGGCAGAAATATGGGGCTCACAGAAAGAATGAGTTCTGCTTGGAACTGGTTAATAGAGGGTTTTAATTCCCTGCTTCAGGCTCTGGCAACTTAAACATTAGGGAGACGAGATCATTAAAAATCATGTATTAATGGTACAAATTGTGAATTTTGCCAGACAATAAGTGTCTGTATTTAAAGCCTTGGTATGGTAAGCAGCTTATCTGCTCCTTAACATCCATATCACTGCACAAGGGTTTAGTTCAAATCCCTCTGCTTGGTATTTATCACTTACCTAATAATTGCACCAAGTTTGGATGCTTGATCTCCTTCATTACTGCGGCTTCTTTCAAGAACTCTTCCACCTCCATGGTATCCTCCTGCAGAACAATGGCAAAGCTTTGGCAAGGACAGTACGGACAAAGGAGGAACAGATTTTTGTATGAAGACGCAAAAAAGAATGCAAACTGACAACATAAGCCACAGTTCTTTCAAGGTAATTTTTCCCTGTAGCCACATCACAATGCCAGGGAGTTAGGAACTCTGGGGTTTTTTGTAGGATTTTAAAAACATGTATTTTTATCATTCTTATTCTAACACAGGTTTTTGGGCCAAGAAAATCCATATCCCTTTTGTGAAGGGCCTCTCGCAGGACCACTCAGGAGTTGAAAAGGAAAAATGTGCTTGTTCCTAGGAGAAAAAAAAGATAACATGAAATAAAAAGGACAGAAGAGAAAAGAAACAAGAATGAACATAAAAGGAAGGATACGCCACAATCAAATGCTTGAGAAGCTACTGCAATGCGGGCCCCCAGTTTCACTGGGTAGGAGCGAGAAATCCCCTCTTTCAGACAGGGAGGCATGACGGATGGCAGCCACTCCATAATTGAAAGCCCGAGGTTTCACAGATTTCATTTTTGGCATTTAGAGCCTGACCCATGACGTAACCGTTCTGGGCAGACGTGTCACTACCTATTTGCTGAACGCCATAAAGTTGCTTGGCACAACACAAAACCGAGGAAGATACAATCTTGCTTAAAAGACATATTTTCTGAACCAAATATGCCCCAAATGGCCAGAAGGTTATTTCAAAGTGGTGCAAAAATACAGATCTATTCCTAAAGCGATGTTTCTTTCTATATCCATATTTTTTTCTTCATTGGTGGATTAATGTTGACAGGCTACATGGACGAAGTGTTTTAAGGAAGGATTGGAAAGGATTTACTGCTGCTGGTGAGAATGATAACAGTGGGCTGCCGCTGTAAGATCCAGCCAGCTCTCTGCTTTGCAGTTAGCAACGAGAACCTTTTTCAAACAGTTTCATTCAATCATTTACTATTTGTTGCCAATTAGCTTGATTGGCAGCTGTGATTTGCTGAACACACTGTCAAAACTAATAGCCCAAAGGTCCTTGTGAGCAGAACCTTAAACTGTTTTCTTTGGCAAAGGAAACTGGGTTAATAATCCAGGTTGCAAAATTACCCTAAATACGCATTTATCCTATGCATGCTATACAAAGTCTGAAAGGTTGCTCCTCTACAGAGCTGTTCCACTGTTTTAAATCTCTTGCCTCTCAGTGACCAAATTAATAGGAAGGACACATACAGAGAACTACTGTAACAATGATCTCTCTGCAAACCTGATCTCATGCAAAGGACCAAGCTTAACCAGCTTCCATCTTCCACTGTACAAAACCACAGAAGAAATAACACAATTCTGGCTATACAATACTTTCCTAGCAGAGCACAGGACCATGCCATGGCATTACGGGACACCAGGGTTGCACGTTGCCTAATTTAAAACACAAGCTTCTCTGCTGGGCAAAAAATTAAAAAAAAGGAAAAAAATAAAAAAAGGAAAAATTAAAAAAGAAGAGGCAGTCCTAAGACGCAGACTTGAGGTGTGCAGTAAGAAATGTGCCGAGAGGATCAGCTCACATCAGTTCAGCCATGAAATGGTCCTCACGGGGAACAAGCTTTGGCCACAGGCACAGCAGGTTGTGCTTGGTCCAACAATAAGCAGGTCACAAAGCTCCGCTCCCAGTTACTGCAGCCACTGTCCACCTGGTGCCCCTCTCCATCAGCATCAGGTGTAAAATCTGGTACCCCTCTCCATCAGGTGTAAAAAACACAAGTGTGTCGTGTTATGGTAACAGACCCTTCATAAATACTGATGCGTCCTGTGCAACTCACTGAGCTTCCAATGATATCTTTTCATGGGAAATATCTAAGCACCAAAACATTGTCCGGCACTTCCCAGTTACATGCAGCTGTGGAACAGCGTGTGCAGCTTGATTACCTTCTCGCTTGATCTAGTGTTTTGTGCCAGCTATGAGCTACGTTTAGACACTTGATAGAAAACTGAACAACAAATGGGTGTTCATAAGCATAGCTAGTCAAAAAGATGCTGGAATGATTTCCCCCCCTCCCCTTAGTTTTCCCTCCCCTTTGTCTTTCTTATAGAGATATCTGGAGTAGATGGGGAAGGAACAAGAAGAGTCACACAAAGTTTTGAAGAATATTCTCTCAGAGGAAAATCAAGTGAGTCATTTGAACGTTTGTGCAGAAGCTGCGGAGGGCTTATTTTCCCCAGCAGAACTGGGATATAAATGTGATTTTAAAATGTTTCCCAAAACTTTGAAGAAAGCTATAATCCCACCTGTCATGGAGCAGACTGATGGATTTAAGGAAGGTGGATTATAAATTTGCTTTTAAGGATGGTTTTAGTGTGCATAATTGCAGGTTGAAGTGTTTCTCAACTCTCCTCTTGGTTATTCTTACATTCCCCAGTGGAACATGCTGCTCCATACTACATTATGAACCACTTTTAGTCATGTTTCATTAAATATTTTATATATTTGAAACATCCACGGTCTGTATTAAGGTTTCTCCTTATGCATAAACAGATTTTATAGGATAACACACAATTTGACTTTGTTGATGGGTTTTAGAGAGAAGAGAATGAAAGCAACAACTCCAGTTTGGAGCAAAATGAGAAGTCTGAAGACGTCTGGTATCCTCACACTCCAACCAGAAGCAGGAAAGGAAATGTTACAGCAAACAATGTTCCAGGAAAGAACTGGTCTCTCCTTTTCACTATAAACAGGCGTTTTGTTCAGCCTGGTCACATCCCAGCTCCAGCTGCACTGCAACGCTCCCAAGCATCCCTGTGGTCCCCAGCACGCTGGATCCGAGCAGGGATAACACTAGGTGTCACTCGCTCCCTGTGCAAGCAGGCACTGGGACTTTCCTCGCTGGGGAGCAGCAACAGGAATCTCCAGGGTACAAAAAAAGGCCAAAATGAAAATACTTTCTGCAACCATAGCAACCCAGAAATACTGAGGTAGTTGCTGCTCAGAGCATAAGGAAGAAATATTTTCCCCAAATCAAGGAAACGTTCCTCCCCTGACAGTAAGGCATCTACACAGTTCTCTCCACTTCAAAATTTCCATTGCAAAAACCAAAAAGAAACAAACAAAAAATCCTGTTCTGTTTGTTTCTGCAAGACCAAACCACATCCCCATTAGAGAAGAGAGAAGATGGTGTCAAGTTAGCATAAACTCTTATTAAGCAATCAAATGCAATGTGTGTGGATGCTGCCAGAAGGTCTCAAGACATTTTTATAAACATAAATGAATTAAGCAATGACCTTATGAACTCACAGAGCATTATTTGCATTTCAAGAGACAAGGAAACCAAGACACAGAAATCAGGGAGCAGAGCCAGAAACAGAACTGATTATCCAGTTCTTCATTAAAGACACTTATGAATTTTAATATATTTTAGCTTGGATATACTTTTTCCTCCACTTGTATCTTTTGATAAGAAGCAGCTGTGAACAATTGCCTAAGACTTCCAGGTACACAGCGAGCTTGTATTTTGGGAAAGATGCCACGTAAGACAGAAAATCAAAACATGTAAAGCCTCCCTGAAGCACAGCCTTTGAATTTTATGTTGTCTGACTCACAATCCACAGTTTTCCTTAATACACCAGCTTGTGTTAGTGTGTTCATCCATGAACAGCTCACCTTTACTACACCCTGAGTGCGAGACATCACAGAACTATTTACTTTTCTAAGGTTTCATCTGTTCTAAAGTAAAAATTATGCTGTTATTGTCCTCCTTTGTTTAGTTACAAGCATTTCAGGTATCACATAAAACCATAACAGGATCAAGCTCTTTCAAAAATACTCTATTCCAAGCCTACACCATAGAAAGGAAGGGCCATCACCAACCTAAACCATCTTAATTATGGCTGAGGGCAGGCAGCCTGCCTGAACTCGGTTCCTGCAAATGCTCAGAGACTTGAATCTTACCTTTAGAGTCTTCACAGCCACTGTAAGGTTGTACTTTTTCCAGACTCCTTCATACACCTCTCCATACTGCCCTCCACCGAGCTTGTGCTTCATCGTGATGTCAGTTCGCTCTATCTCCCATTTGTCGTAGTTTGGAGACACACCATAGATAGTGGGCTTATTGCGTTTGGGCGCTGGGTAGTGCAAAGTGGTGATGAGCCCATCTGCGACAGTTGAGCCACTGTAAGGTTGTACTTTTTCCAGACTCCTTCATACACCTCTCCATACTGCCCTCCACCGAGCTTGTGCTTCATCGTGATGTCAGTTCGCTCTATCTCCCATTTGTCGTAGTTTGGAGACACACCATAGATAGTGGGCTTATTGCGTTTGGGCGCTGGGTAGTGCAAAGTGGTGATGAGCCCATCTGCGACAGTTGAATGATGATGGACCAACTCTGCTAAGGTGTTGAAGCGGCTCTCTGAAGAGACATACAGCTAGGGAACAAAGGGAAAGCTCATTCACACAACGCACATGGGAGCATTCATACACAGAAATGACATTATAAAATTATGAAAGCAAAGTGTTGCATCACTTCTACTCGATCTGGAGTACTATGTGCTCCACCAGCTCTGTGACTAGTTCTCAGAAGCTCAGACCTGAGAATGATCAACACTTACGCAGGAAATGCATGGATTCAGGAGAAAATACATGCACTTCACTGAAACAATACGGAAGGAATGACTGCAAATAGCACTGGATTGGCATGCTGTTGCTTGAAATGTCTTTTTTAAAAAAGGCTGGTCAGTAGAGATTGTGAGATATTTCCTGGAGCGCAGCGGGTTGTCAACCTTAGTGTCTTGATTCCATTGTACTGTTTGGGTTATTACATTTTCACCTGCCTAAATTCTCTTTGAAATGTCACTAGCAATCTGGTGGCTTCCCTGCTATTGGCCTAAGCTTCTGCATAGTATTTTGCATGAAGTTGGACAGCTGGTCTGCTCCATTCTTGTGATGGGCATTGATCAATAACAGAGAAGTAAAATCATTACCACTGATTGAGAACCTGCTGTGAGGCATGATAACCCACATTTGTTACCTCTTTAACATTTATGCAGAAGATCCATTTTAAGCCTGAAAGCCTACTAAAGATAACGGACAAGTGACTCCCTACCACCAGAGCTTTGTATTTCCAGTTTTCACACTTGCCCCAGTTTTGGCAGGGATAGAGATAAATTTTCTTCCTAGCAGCTGGTAGAGCACTGTGGTTTGGAATTAGGATAAGAATAATGTTGATAATACACTGATGTTTTCAGTTGTTGCCAAGTAGTCAAGGATTTTTCAGTTTCTCATACTGCCCTGCCAACAAGAAGGCGGGGGGCAACCAAGAAGCTGAGAGGGGACACGGCCAGGACAGCTGCTCCAAACTGGCCAAAGGGATATTCCATGCCATATGATGTCATGCTCCATATATAACTGGGGGTGGGTCGAGAGGTGGTGTGGCTCGGGAACTAGCTGAGCACTGGTTCCAGGTGGCGAGAAATTGTGCTGTGCATCACTTGATTTGCATGTTCTATTGTTATTCTCTTCTTTTTCCATCCTATTAAACTGTCTTTATCTCAACCCACGAGTTTTACCTTTTTTCTCTTTAATTCTCTCCCCAATCCCACTGTGGGAGGAGTGAGTAAACGGCTGTGTGGTTGTTTTAGCTGCCGGCTGGGTTAAACCACAACAACACTCAAGCTTAGTCTTCTACTAGGCAAGGTGAAAAATGCTAGAAATTTAATTTTTTTTTAAAAAATATGCTGATAACACCTGGAGGATAGGAAGAAATCTTTGTATCAAAGTGCAACAGCCTATGCTGGACACAGCACATTGAAGAAGGCAGAGCTCCATTACTCACAAAGGACCAAGGTCTGGCAAGGGACAACCTGGCAGGAAGAGCAGCACCGTGCTACTATCCAGACTTCTGTGCAGTCCACACGCTATGAAACACGTGATGCACTGCTGCGACTGTGCACATTACATGCAGATACCTGTGATCAAACTTCCTGAATGCTTCTGACTTGCTGGATACGCACTCAACAGTTTGTGTATGTGCAGTGGCCATCTGTCTGGGATTTCTGGAGGCCAGGAAGTTGACGGGGTTGCCAGGCATCCAGAAATCTCAGACTTAGGGTCAAATTCTCCTTCTTCCACCTAGACAGAATTTTTGGATGGAAAAGGACAAAGCATCTGTAAAGCTCCAGCAATAAGTGAGTATGTCCAACAGAAAAGGGACATGCATTTGCAACAGGAAAAAAAAAAAAACAAAACAAAACCAAAAACGTTTGCAGGGAGGATAAAGACACCCTCAAACTTGAGTAGAGCCTTTGGACTGGAGATTGGCAATTTCTGTATGGATGCTCCTCCTTTGCAGGTATCTGCTTACTATACCAAACCTAAAATGAGAGTGAGAGACACTGGAGAAGACCAAATATTCTGAAGAATCTGAGAGCACAAATACTACGTATAAGAAAAGGTGACTGAAAAGAGAAGCTGTATTATCCAGGGAAGTCAGTGTGATAGATGAAAGTCCTCTCACCCTCAACATCCAGCTTGCCAAAATCCCTACTTAAGTTTCTGAGAAGGAACCACATGCTTATGTATGTACGGTAACTATTCTGCTCAGAATTGGCAAAAACTGCCAATCTATGTATGCCATGGACAAATTTTGAAAGAGCTGCAGACAGGTAAAATGTTCAGCTCAGGAACACAGTGTAACCCAAAAAGGGAAAAAACACACAGAGATGTGAACGATCCCACAGATCAGTCACAGACAGGTTAGACTACTGCAAGGTGTAGGGTGGCTGTTGACTTTCAAGCTATGGCCTTTGTAACAGAATGATGGCCCCCATAAGGTTTCTGGGAAGTAAACATTATATAGCATTTGTCATCCAAAAAAGGCAACTATGCCGTAGAAATCTACCTTTCCAGTGTTGGGAAATCATAACCCCTGGTTAAAGTGGCATTTCCTCTGGTGCAACAGCACCTGGACTTGGGGGAGTGGGAGAAGAGGCACAGTGGCCAACCTGTCTGTAAGCCACCTGAACAAACCCCACACCATTAACCATTCTGGTGACACCACACACACTTTTGGGGATGCGCACGGGCATTCAGAGTGGAAGGTTTTACACACTGGGCTGGAGAAAGCCACTTTCCCTTCACTCTTGTTTTTCTTTTGCTACAGTTGCTGATAACACAACTCCTATGGAAACTTTATCTCTAAAAAATAAAGGCATCCTCCTGAGGAGCATGTTCTCAACCCTATATCAAAATGAGTGGGATATTCTTTTGGCAAAGTAACTGAACCAAATCTCATTTCAACACTATGATTTTAAAAAAAAAAAACAAACAAAAAACAACCCAAAAAATAAAAACCAAAACCACCTTTCATGGTCAAAGAGCTAAAATCACATTAAAAACAGATGTTCTGAGAACAGAAAAGTGACAACAAGGGAGAGTTTTACAGCTGCATGGCTTGGACCACCAAGCATTAGGCAGTGCAACCACCATTTAAAACAAGCCATACCCGTTTGGGAACAACCTGTAGTACTAGTAGTGGTACTAGCAGTTCACCTGTTACGCTGAGGGATAAAATACAAAAGTATGGATGTAGAAAATTATGCTGAACTCCAGTATCACTTGGAAGTATTAGAGAAGCATGGAGAAGGAAGCTGATCGTGTTTTTATGATGGCTTAAATCATATGATCTCAAAGTCCCATGGAAATTAGAGATATCTGTGTTTTGTGTGAGAGATTAAATGACATTGTTACAGAGAGAGAAAGAAGTTAAATAAATGGCCAAGGGTTTCACAGCAAACCCACAGCAGGATAAGGAACAGAACTCAGGATCACCCTGTCCAGGCTACAGGACAACACTCTATGCCTTAATACACATGAAGGTTCCCATTTACATCAAAAAAACCCACATCCACCTACTAAATGTGCTCATTCTGTAGGCAGAGGTCTTCTAACCTCTCAGTAATTACATCTCAACACTGACTCCTGAAGTGGAAGTCCTTACTTCCCACCAGCACTATTGGAAATCAGAGTTATGCTGTGTTTAAATCTTCATCTGGAATTGGAAGCATGTATCACAAAAAGATGAAGCAAGGAGCAGCTATGAACGGCACGCTGTCGATGCAGCCCAACAAGTCGCATATACACACTGACTACTCACTGCAACCTCCCTTCTCCGCTGACTCCGATTACCAAGCCTTAGCTCAAGCTGCTTGCTGGATAATTTCCTCCAAGAAAACGGCCTGGTGCTGCTAACTGTACTCCTCCAGAGGTCACAGACTTAGCGTTTCTGTGCTGCGTGAGGTTACACAGGGACTTGCACAGCTTGCTTCCTGGCTATGTTGTGGACACATTATTTGGGCAATTTGTGCATATTGTCAGTCAAACTGTAACGCTGGTACTGTGCCAAGGAGCTCTGCCTGTACAAGTTATCTGCAGCTTCTGTCACCAGATCACATCTCTTTTTCCTGGCTAGTATATTTTATAGGGGTGTTTAAACTGGCCCAAGCTAACCTCCAAGGCATCCTTAACCTGATGGGATTCCCCCTCCCCTGTCAGCAGACAAAACTGAACATACACACACACAAAAACTCCATGAAGGTCCATGATAAAGGAGCGAGTCTGCATCCAGTTCAGTCACTGGAGGCTCCAAGAGACTCAAGCAGGACACACATCCTGTGTCCTTAACGCTGAGGATAGCAGGATTTCAAGAACTGGCTGGACAATGCTGTTTATTTAGTTGGGTTACTCAATAGGAGGCTTTGCCTCAAGTACTATCAAGTCAGGAAAACCAAGTTTGCTGTACTACGGAAGTGGTTTACCAGATGACTAGCTGTACCATGCCAGCCAAATCAAGAAAGGTCACTTTTAATGCCTTCCTTAAAAAAAACCCAAAAACGAAACCAACAAAACATTCAAAGGTGGTCCAGAAGAATATGATCCATTAAACTGGAAAATAAAGACAAAACTCCTTGAGGAGTTTGTTCACTAAATTTTTAAAATGTTTTTAAAACTCCAGTGCATCAGTATGAATGGTGCTAAAATTAAGACATACATATCTCCGATCTCTTCCTTGTCCCTTCAATTTTCCTCCAGGAAGAAGCCTGGGTAGGGTTGTGCAATACACAGCACACCTCCGCATCAAGCAGCGGTTGTTCTACATGTTTCTCCAATACCTCTTTCTCCCGATAGTGTGTTCTCTCAGTCACAGTATATGATCTCACCAAAGCCATTCATCCTTACTGCAGCACTTGCAGATATTAAATTCCCCGGACAGGCTGACTAATGATACAGCAGGCTGGGAAGGCCCCAGGTGCTCAGGGAGTTGAAGGTAAGAGGTTTCCTTCTGCGGAGCCACGCTCTGCCACGAAACGGGTAATAGAGTGCGACACGAGCAGCTCAGAGCGAGCGATCTGCTCCAGCGGTCTCTGTTTTGCAAAGGGAAAAGTAGGGATATTAGCTGTTTCTGTTCCTAGCTCCTCGGCTTTGACAGCCAGGGACAGGGTGCTGGACGAGCACGGTGTCCCCCAGCCCAGCAGCAGAAGCAGCAGAGCAGACAGCACGTCTGCCACTAAGCTGTCACAATTCACTGCCCAGCTCATTAACACAAATTGAAACTGATGTGGTTTAGCACGCCAGGCTGCAAACTGCGGCACCTGATGCATGGACGTGGTGAACCACTCCTTCTACTGGGATGCTGGCCCTTGGCACGGCAACCAGGAGGACTGTGGCTACCTCTTCACTTGCTCCTGCACGAACAGCCAAAGCCCGGGAGCCACAGCTCTCAGTCCCTGCTGCTTCACGATCTTGTATTTCCAACCACCATCAGCTGCAGATCTGCTTTAGTGAATTGCGCTGACCTGCACCTTTTCTCAAAAACACCAATTCAAGCAACTTTGTGGAAAATGAACAATTAACCTGGCTAATACAGACCTGAGCTGATTACTGTAGCTCTACAGAACTGCTTTTTGCGATAAAAACAGCTCTGCTGGGATGAAAGCCTTCATATGCCAAACCCTTTTACAGCTAAAATGGAGAACGTGTGCTATCACATCACGGACACGTGCTTATTTACACCAACTGAAGGAAGCTCGGGTTCAAAATGTTCACATGTGAACATTGCTCATCTGCCAGCATCAATGAGAATAGAAGCAGTATCAGCTACAGAGACAGGAGGAGGAATAATATTCCAGATTGCCATGTAGTCCTTCAAGTGTGCTGCACATCAGCATTTCACAGTGCTGATTTTGACCACAAAGTGTGTCTACATGGGAGGAAAAAGGAAGAATCAAAGAGCTGTTACTTGGGAATACGTTGTCTTAAATAACGTGGTCAAAATTGTCTCAATTACAATCTGTTTGCTACAGCAGACAAAAAGTATTTCATTACCGAATAAAACCTGTTTATCTTATTAAAGGTTTTAGAGCGATGAGTCTGATAAACAGGAAACACTATGTACTGGTTCCCTATGTTTTCATACTGACGATTTTGCTGTCAACATTGCCGTAAGAAGAATAAAGCTCTCGCAGGACAAAAGAAAATTGGCCATGGTGGGCCACTTCTATACTTGACTTTTTTTATTTTTTTCAAGTACTGTAATGGCACAGAATCTGTCATCTACTAGATGCTGGCAAGAAGAGCCTCAGCAGCCATGCTCCAGACCCACACTTCAACTTCTGCACAGGATCTAAAGAGACACTGCTTAAACTAGATCCGTTAAAAACCATGATTTTCCAAAATCCAATGCCAGTAGAAACGTTTCCATGGAATTCAAACAAAAATCTGTGGAAAACTACACTTTTACGCTAACATTTCTCTGCAGCATCCACAAAGCACGGCATTGCAACATTGCTACAGCACACAACGATCTAAGGGAAAAAAAAGATAGGAAACTAGAGACAGGGCCCATATAAAAGCAAAAGTGCCTACCCGTCTCCAATGATCACGCTGAAATACTGTAGAGAAATCAAAACAGTAGTTAAAAATACTGCAGAATAGCTCAAAAAGCATTCTGTCCCTAATATTTACAAGATTATTAGCAACAGGCACTGACTTTTCTGATTTGGCAGTTGAAAATATTATCTTTTGCACATATGGGACAAGAATTCATCCTCAGAATCTCTTATTAATGATATCTATTACATTCAGCTCCAATGTAACTCTAGTATCTCCTACCTTAAAGAGTTTCGCTACTGAGCTGTATTGTACCTCACCAGAAGTTTGCTAAAGGAGTAAAACTGTTTTGTCACAGCCGTGTCAGAATCTCACAGTTTATTGCAACTACAGACGATGAACATTGTGATCAGGGTTCAGAATTGCTCAGTTCAATTGCTACTGCTTGACCTTGTGCAGCCAGTAGACAAAGTATACCGGCAAGGTTTTCTGTCATGGTCTGGAAACCTGCAGCTTACCTTTCCATCAGACGCAGTGTTTATTCTGTAGTGGTACACCCTTCCTTCATATCGCAGTGAAATAGATCTCTGTCCTGGACTGCTCTCGCTCTCTCGCACAAGAAAGCTGCCGTTGATACCACTACTCAGCAGGTACTCAGCAGCGTTACGTGACACTGGTCCATGATACCAGGAATGCTTCTCCAAACTATTCACTGGGGTGATGTAGTTGCTGGGTACCCAGCCTTGTCCATTCTTCGTTTGGGCCTCGCACCATTCTCCATTATGATTGTAGCCCAGGACACGAAGCTTTTCACCTTATTGCAAGAAAAAAAATACATTTAGATATGGCAAATCTGGGAGCTGAGGACAAAGATAGGCTCTTTCTGGCTAACAGATCATTAAATAACCTCCTGTAAGAATAGATATCTGACTGAGCAGGGAGCATGTGTGTTTCTTTAAGCTTGAGTGGATCCCTCAAAGCCAAATCAAGTCACATGCACGCTTCAGGAGTTTGTTAGGCTCTCATGCAGTTCTGCACCAGCTCAATACTGCTTGAGCTTCAAAAATAAATGAATCCAGCAAATTTTATTTGAACTGAGCTGGCTTGATAGGGCTAGGAGAGGAGTGGATAAATAATAAAAAAAAAATTCAATTGGTAAGGTAAGCTAATGTGACTTGGAGTACACATAAGGAACAGAAGGACTGAGTAAAAAAAACACTGTATCTGTACAGTCATTTCTCATACAGGCACTGTGTTTTGGAGAACTATAAAAATTATGAAGGCCAGCCTCTAAAATCAGCTTAGTTTAATTTGTCAGTTCATATTCTTGCTCCTAATGGAGACCCTAGTTTTGGCAAACAGTTTCTTGCCCAATGCAAAAGCTTCAGACAGTTTTAACCTTTTAAAAGGTTATGACTTTGTGAAATATCTGTATTTGTTTAAGAAGAATTCCCACAGTAAAAAAAATTCCATAGGGTTTAGTGTATAATTCAGTTATTCCACAGCAGCTTTTCTTTCTACGCCTTCTCACAAGCTCCCAGGACTGCTCTGCCAGCTACCTTACCTTTAGTTATGCTGAGAGTGTTGTCCCCACTCGCCACAAAATCATACAGTGCAACAAAGAGATGGGGGTCATTTTCACTAGGACAGGACAGAAGGTTTTCCTTGGAGTTCCAGCGAGCTGCTTCGCTCAGACCCTGGGGCTCAAAGTCCGACACTACCGGCCTCTGAAGGGCTTCTGGAGGAGGAAGAGAGAGAGAGAGGAAAAAGCAGGTTCATTTTTGCTGATAAAAGCCATCTGGTCAACCCACGCACTCTGATTTTCTAATTTGCATTGTTTCTTGACATGTGTGCTCCTCATGCGTCAGAGGACAGATATGGACAGCTCTTCAATGCGGATCTCCTGCCACATAGGCAGGACACCCTCGCTCCAGAGCTGCCCCCCAGCCTGCCCCGAGCCCCCAGCTCCTGCCTCCCACAGCACGCAAGGGAGGGAAAGCTCCTCTCCCTCCCTCCAGCAAATGCTGCTCACGTAGACTGTTTGCTGCTTGTAAATCCTTTGGCTCATGCCTAACTGCTGGAATGGCTAGATTTGAAAACAAACCCAAGACCTTTAAAAGGTAAATCCCTTAATTATCCTATAAATGAAATCACCAGAACGTGCAGCACAGAGCCAGGCAGGGCGAGATTTATAAGACATGGTATTTAAGAATGAGATACGTACTTCTGCTGTTCACAGTGTTTTTAACCATTTCTCTTCTTATTTGAGTACAAGGCTGTGCCTTTTTTGTTATCCTCTCTCCTGCCTGTCGCTCTCAAAATGAGAGCACAGCAGCGAGTGTACTTCTCACCATGAGCTTTCCCCATTTTTAGAAGCCCTGAGATGCCTCCAGAAAAGAAAGATTCCTAAAAACTGAGTTTCCCAGGTGAGTGAAAACCAACTACCAGTTTTCTGTACACTGCAGCACATTAGGCATGTAATAGTAAATATCAGGCAAGTCCAAGTACATCAGGGAATTTCCTTCCAGTCACTCTGGCAAACCCTCCCCTCCGGATCATGATTGAGGAATTTGGGGCAGCGATGCTCCAGGTAGCTGTGCCCCCTCACTCCATCGTGCCACCCCCAGGTGTGCTGGCAGCCCTGCGGGTGACTGTGTTGGCACAAACCCAGGAGAATAAGCTGTGAAAAATCTTGGGTTTTGAAGGGTTATTTTCCATCTGGATGAGTTTGCTGAGTGAGGTCACAGCACCGCACACAAACCATCACATCAGTGCAGCTAAGGGGACAGGAAACACAGCACTATCACACCCAGCCCCTTCCACCACAAAATTGCTCTTCATTACTCAGCACCAGCCCCTGCCTGCTCCCCCCCTTCACTGCCAAACCCCTCTTCTGCAAACGCAGCAGGGCTTTGGAAGGAAAAATCCCAGGCCAAGTGTCTTCTACATTATCAGGTCACCTGGGAGCCCAGTTCCCTCTTTTAAACTTGTAATACTAACTAAAATATGCTTTTAACACTATTGCTTGTTTGGTCTGGAAATCTGGTATAAGCTGCACAAGTAAACCAATGAAGAACTGACAAGACTGACAACAGAAAACCTTTGGAAGTCAAGTGTGAATTGGGACAGGCCCAAAATACATTTCCCAATAGGGAAATGCTTAAAAAACCCCAACCAAACAACCCCAACCCCACAAGCAATAACATATCTCATTATTTTCTGAGCTTTGGTGGTGAAAGTGCCACTACTCACGCACAGACAATCTGGCATCCTCGATGCGTTGGTCAGATCACCACCGGTAAAGCCTCTCTGGGTCATTATTTATGAACACATATTGCCCCATCCCCAGAGACATTTGAGGTCAGGCTGGATGGGGCTCTGAGAAACCTGATCTAGCTGAAGATGTCCCTGCTCACTGCAGGGGGGGGTGGAGTAAATGACTTTTAAAGGCCCCTTCCAACCCAAACTATTCTATGAACATGAGTACTACTGTATTCTTTGGAAAAGGTAAGATCATACATGTGGGCAGAAAGCAAAATAGCAAGTATACACACTGTTGGGCCCGTTTTTTGAGCCAAATCGTATCTGCAGGGAGATATATTTTTATAGTGAATCAGAGAAGTCAATAATTCTGCTTTCTAAATGATTCCACTGGCTATACCACAGTCAGAAAAGGTGGTACTGTGTTGGGTGTTTTTTTTAAATTAGCACCTTGACACCCTTGCTTTCGCCTCCTGCTTCCTGCAGGAGAATACATTTTAATAGCCTGGGTTTGCTTCAAGAGGGACAATGAGAAAAGAAACAGAAAATCCACTTTCAGAAAATTAAGCTATAATCATTTTACCATGAAAACGCTTTGATCCTGTCAAGCCCATTAAGCTCCCTTATCAAACACAGGGCGCTGCAGTGACTGGAGATACTCCAAGGAGTTACACCATCAGTAAACACCTGGAACAGACAGACAGCAGAGAGCTGCAAGTAGCAGATACACAACCTCAGCAAGGAGCAACGCCATGATGCTCTCCCCCAAACATGGTACAAACCAGTATACGCTGCATAGCGGGATGGACCATAACCTCCGTTAGGAAGGAAAATGCCTCCCCCACGGGGGACTGATTCAACAGGAAGGCAGGAAATCCAAGGCAGGCTCCCCTCCAACTCCAGCACGATCACAGCCCAGCGAAGGACGGCTCATGCACGGCCACGGATGGGGATGCGGGAGGAAAGCCAAGCGCTCTGCAAGAATCCCTCCCTCGTGCCCAGGCCGCGGCAATGCTGGGACTGACTCATTACACACGGATGCCAAGGTATGCGCTTCAATTCAGAGCATGAGACAACACTGTGTCAAACACCAAAAACACCCACGAGCTGCGGTGTGTAAGTCAAGGAAGGCAAGAGCAAGGGCTGTTAAATAAACATACAAGAATTTGCTAAGCTGGAAAAACACACCAGCCCCCCAGTGAACATATAGGATGCTACGCGCAGATGGGCTCATATCCTCTGTATCCTCCAAGTCGACTCCCCCCTGCTCAGCCGCTGGCACCCCGACGGAGGTGCACGCTGCGTGTGAATGCTGCCATGCAGGAGAGCATGACTGGGAGATGCACGACCCAACTCTTGGGCTAGGTTAGGGCTGGTGTTTCCAGAGGGTCAGAAACCCCAGTTAAGAATTGGGAGGGTGGTGACTGAATGAAGCTTGAAGGGCAGCAAGAAAGGGAGAACGAGGCCCTGAGTCAACACGGAGAAGAGCGTAAAGGAAAGAGCAGAGTTGTGGTGACCCGAGTGTAGCAGAAGCTTGATAGACCATGACAAAACACGCTTTTAAAGGTCTGGGCCCCAAGAGGAGGCTGTCAGCAGACTCGGGACACAAAACATTGAAGCAAGAGAAGCAGATAGGACATGTCCATCTGGGAGCCACATACAGCTGCCTGTCAGCAGGAGTTATCCCTCTGAGTTATTCCCTGGTAAATTCGCCCAGACATTACAGTCCTTCAGAGCAGTAATTAGACATTGTTGTTCATACATAGAGAGGATCTTTTTCAACACACTACAGCTTCTTCACCTTATACTGCTGGTTCTAATGACAACTTTAACAGCACTGCTGAATTCTTTAATCGGCCAGATTCCTCCTAATAAATCACCCTCCTGTAAGTATAGCAGCCAGGCTATCCCAGCACAGCGATGGGGCAGGAAGCGAGCGTAATTCAATCTGTTATCTCTGTGCTGTGATTCCTTCCATGCATCCACTTTGTCTTCTGCTGCATCCCAGCAAGACTGTAATTTATTACTTTGATCATAACATGCTCCAGATGACACCTGGATTCCTGGGAGGAGTCCCAAGGCAATGCTGTAATTCAGTTCTCCACTAACACGAACTAAATGACAACTCTTAATTAAAAGTGGAGCAGACTTCGAAGTAAGACAACAGCAGCTTTTCTTTTGAGGCATTAGCCATAAGACTGTCTTCACTTCCCCCCAAATTAAGTTTTTACCAGGAGATATTTATGTTTGCACACTAAAAGGTTTCATAAGCGTAACTATCTCCTGCTAATTACTGTTTATACGAAGTCATGAATCATTGTTAGGGACTGCGTAAGGAGTTCTCAGATATGACCAATTCTGGTCTGGACCAATGCAAGCAAATTTCCTTAGTAATTTAAGGGAAGGGTTGGAAAACAGGCAGAAGCACTGAATTACACTCGGCTCCTCCACAGCTGACTGCGGGGCAGTCCCGAGGGAAGGAAGAGACCCCCTGCCTCCCTACAAAACAAACATCCTGTGGACTTACGAACCGTGCTGGCATTTTTTCCATGAGGTTTCTAGAGCGAGGGAGCACGGAACACATCTAGTAACCTCTTTGGAGGTACAGCACACGCTATCCAAAGCTTCTCCTTTCCCTATATTCTCCCTACTCTCCTTTTCCCCTGGAAGAAGTGATGATAAATGGCAGAACAGCTATGCAGATTGAATACATCCAAATGTTCCTGACTCTTAGCACATATGATGGAGCAGCTGCCTCTCTGTCCCAGTATTTCCTTAGTGGCCCTCATGGATTCCCTATGCCTGATGGAATATGGATTTAAAAAAAATAATCTGTAAACCAGATATTTTAAAAAAGAAGGAAGGTTTCATGTTTTATTTCAGACTCATCCCCTTCAGTGAGATCACACTCGGCCTCTCCTGTCACCCGCTCCGCAGCACGGGCCATATAACCTTCTGCAGCAAAAGCTATCGCTGTCACTTCTGCTCTTGGCTGATATTTGGAAAGTCCATGTTGTTATAGCCAGCACACAGACAAATGATCACTTTTTAAATATTGTGTACTTCCATACAGAGGCAAAAAAAGTGCAAAACCAGATGCAGCCTCTTCTCACCCAGACCCACTCCCCCTGTGCCAGACCAGTCTCCCCAGTTGCGTAACCCTACTTCCAGCCCCAGTGAGGTGCCTTTGTCCCGCAGGCAGGCTGCACCCCTTCTCACACAGCCACCAGCAACCTCCAGCACTCTAAATACTGAAAACCAAGTCTGCTGAACGCGAACACGAGAAAACAAGGCCACCCATGGCTCCTGCTGCATTGCCCACACGCAAACCAGCCCTCACAGTCAACTGCAGTGTTTTATCTTGTCTAACCCTAAGCATGACTTGATGATGTAGCTTCTCCCACTCCTCCAAGAGAAGATTCTGTCATCTTGGGGACCTGGGGGGTTTTGGTTTGTTTATGTTGGTTTTGGGGATGG